GCGAAACGCTTTTTGTCAACTCAAAAAGAGTAACTCCACTTCAGATTCGGCTTGCGTAGTCTTTAAGTTTGACCAATTTCCGTAGGAGGCAGCATTTCAAACACCTCATCAATGCAGCACTCAAACACCTGGGCAGAACACCATCTTTGTTAAGGACGCTGAACTTGATTTTGAAGAGCGTTCAATCCCACGTCGTCGTCGTACATGACCCCCTCGCCGAATCCGCCACCCTTTTCGTTGTCCGCACCTCAAGAGAGGCCTTTGTGATCTCAATTGACAGCAGAGACTCCGAGGTGCAAGTCGCCCGAGACAGTCATTCACTGCGATCAGCCATTCAGAACGCAAAATTGGATGAGCTTCCCCAAAACGTCGTTGACCCTCCTTCGCCCATATGGGCGAGTGTCTTGATGGAGATTCTGCTTTTCGAAATGGTGAGTACAGATGGGATAGTTGCTCGTACAAGTACTGAATTCGTTGATAGGGGGATTTCCCTGCTCTTTATGAGCAGGGGCATGTTGACGAGTCATACCGGGGGAGGTGTATGCGCTGTCTGCGGCGTTTGTCAGGGAAATTTTCCAATCTTCCTCCCTCGTATTTCATCTACGATGCGGTCACGGAGAGCAAGAATATTGTAGCTGGTGGCGGCTTCGCGGTCAGTTCTGGTGTTGAATTCTCAGAGGAAGTGTTTTGATTGATTCATGCAGGACATCTGGCTAGGTCGCCTGGACGGTAGTCCGGTGTGCCTAAAGGTTTTACGTTTTTATACAATTGCGACAGAACAGGAGCAGAAAAACCTTGTCAAGGCCGGTGTTCTCTCCGTATTCTGCCAGTGAATCTCACAGTGGCGTGCTGACAGCTTTTTTGTCGAGAGGCACTTTCTTGGGGCCAATTAAATCACCCGAACATCTTACCATTCCTGGGGGTTAACGCGCAAATCGATACTCCTCGATCCTTCTGTTTAATATCGCCATGGCAGGACAACGGGAATGTAATGAGCTTCCTTGAGAAGAATCCCGATTTTGACCGACTCAAGGCTGTATGGACAATGCATTTCTCGCGGCTTTCATTGACATACTGATTTTAGGCAATTGATACTGCCGAAGGGATGCGATACTTGCATGAACTTGATCCTCCAATTGTTCACGCCGATATCCGTGGTGTAGGTCTCCGTTGCCTCGTCTATACTGGTACTACCCTCGGATATTGACTCGTAGGCGAACATCCTCGTCACAAACGAGTTGCGGTGCCGTTTAGCGGATTTCGGTCTTTCAGCGGTCACGGAGATGACCGTAACCTCTGTCCGCAATGGCGGCACGCCAGCATGGATGGCACCTGAAATCCACCAGATCCCCCCCGGAACCCCACCATCGCCCACGAGAGATATATTTGCTTTCGGATGTACCATGTTCGAAGTGCGACCTTAACCGCCCAGACCCGGCTATTCTCACCAACGAGTCAGATTTTCACTGGGAAATGCCCTTTCTACGGAGTGCCAGTGCCCGCCGTCAAAGTGATCAATGGCGAACGGCCCTCCCGTCCAGCCGCTACGTCATCCGCACAGGAAATAAGCGACGAAACGTGGGCCGTCATCAGCTCCTGTTGGAGACAAGAGGCCGCCGAACGCCCTTCTGCAAGACAAGTTCTTCGAGACCTCGGTGTTCCTCCCCCTCCGAATTATACAATTTTGCGTCGTCCCGGTAAGCATCCTCGCTTCCACAACCCATCACGTGGTTAATATTTACACAGACCCTCAACTTACCGTTGAGGCCCTGCTTGACAAATTAGGGTGTGTCGCCAATTACAGAAGTGAGAAAATATAGAGGTGCTCAACGCTGATCGGCTTAGATCAGATAGGGAATATCTTTTACGATTGATGCCAATCGCTGGAGAAACTCCCAGTCAGGCATTCCTCACAATCATTCGGGAGGAGCTTACGCCAATTGAGGCACACCTCAACATTCATGATACCGCCTTGTTTCGTCTCTTCCACCTCTACACAGCTCTCATGTCGAACATTCGCAATCCAGTGCCACGTCTGATCGATGATACCGACCCCAAACTTCCTATTCATGTCCGCTACCAAAAGTACCAGTATGTTATCTGCACGTGTCTTGTTGTACTCTAGGTTTGATCACTTTGCGCCATAGATCTGATCGGGACTATCTTCGCCGGTTGCTAGCAATCCACCCACAAACACCTCGAAAAGCCTTCCTTGAAAGGATCCATGGTGAACTCGAGCTGGTGCAAAAGCGTCTCTCTGAGCTCCAGCAGATCGACACCGCTTCTCTCGCTCCTGTAGAATTCCGTCGTCGACACCCAGGTCCCCTTGACCTACGTTCCGTTTTCAAACCCAATATCCCCCCCGTCCTCCCTTCTGCTCTGGCTAGTGCTCGGTTCATCGACGACCTAAGTCGTGTCCCCTACCCGGAGAACATTCAGAGCCCGAAGGTGGAGCTCAACATCAACGCCAAGGATGGAAAGTTCAGGTAGCTTGTTTTATTCATCAAAAAAACGCGGAAACTAAGCTTTTGATACAGATACGACCGCGATTTCCTCCTCCAATTCATGTCAATCTGTAAAGAGAAGCCCGACAACCTACCCTCTCTTGAGGTCTCCGGGATAGCTCCTGTGAACCAAAATGCGATGACGCGCACCGTACAACGCAAGCGGCTTATCCTCCAACCTCGATCAAAGCCGACTGCTGAAGAGCAGGGTTTAACTATGGCAGAGGCCATCCCAGCAGGTTCTGATAACAGCTTCAACGACGGAAAGGAGGCTACAGTAGAAATGTCCGAGGAAGCTGTCAACAAGAAGATCAGCGAGGACTCGAAGGAGTTCTTCGCCGTTCGGAATTTGGACGAAGCAGAATTTTACTTCTCCACGCTGCCTGTCGCACATCACCACCGCCTGGTCGAGAAGCTCGTTGGCACGGCGATCGAATCTAAGAAAGCCAATGTGCAATTGGTCGCAGACTTCTTCGTTCGGGTCGTGTCGAAGGAACTATGTTCTGTTGTCGCTTTTGAAGGGGGGTTCAGTCCTCTTGTCGAGATATTGGAGGACATCTCAATCGATGCACCCAAAGCCCCGAACAACATGGCGCTGATGATGAAGGCAGCTTTCTTCGACAGCGAGCGGGCTGCACGCCTCGCGGCCAAGTCGTCGGATCCCGACAAGCTTCTTGCACTGCTCTGATTTACGATTCTGCTTGATCACCGATTTTACCTAGTAGTATTTCTTTCTATTCCACTAGGTACATATGCCCAACCTGTTGCCACACTTCTCGTTCCTATTTTTTCCTTCTAGTCTCCGGAGATCACATCTATATGGTGCCTAATTCACCAAGGGATCGAATGTAGCGGGTGTTTGTTATACACCAACTTACTCGGGTGCAAACTTCATATTACACCACTTGGACGAGGGTCCGGACGCCCGGAGATTCTGCCAGCGCGCTAACGGTTTTCTCTTATTTGGACAGGCGCAGAGTATGGATAGGAACTCGGACGTAGTGCACGGTGTAGTGGTAGGATCGGGTTGGCTAGATATGCATCCCCATGTGGTAGATTAGTCATCCATCTTATTTCTGTTCGCTACCGCAATGTCCACTCTTTGAGGCTGCTAACTCTAGCGGCTCCATCTGGTGATTGGAGCGCGACCGAACCATACCGCTTCCCGAACTGCTTCGGTTGGGTCCTAATAGGTGTTCATATTGAAACAGACAGGTTGAATGACACATCAACATTCGTAGTAGTGATGTTCAGGGCCCGGCCTCAAGCCCTGAGCCAGACCAAGCCGGGTACAACACGCGAGGTACGAGCGAGAATTGTTGTAGCATCTGTTTATAAGAAGAGACTAGGCCCTGCTAGGCCCAAGCCGGGCCAGTCCCAACCCAGGGCTTGAGCAGGCCTAGGCTTGGGCTTCAGATTTTCCAAGCCCGAGGCCCAGGCCTGAAGCCCGCGCATGAGTATCACCAATAGAGTTGACTTACACCGACAATTTTGGACTGAAAACTCAGAGATTCCGTTGATCTTTATGAGTCTGATTCGCCTGCAATTTCTGGTGCTCAAAAACAAAAAGACTTATCTATTTTACTTGGTTTGAAAAGTCCAACTCCGGAGTCTGAATACGGAAATTTCTTGTTGGAATGGTTCAACATCCGAAAATGAACTCGGTAAGCACTCTCTTGCATATAAGATCGTACTTACATGGTTTCAACATACCATTCTGTCTGGTAATGTTGTCAATTAGAAGGTTATGGGGAAGGCCTGGGTCCAAGCCAAATGCCCCGGGCTTGAGGCCCTGTGTGAAGGCTTAGGCTCGGGCTTGAGAAATTTGAAGCCCAAGCCATGTCAGGCCGGGCCCAAGCCAGGGCTTCCAGGCCAGGCCGGGCCCTGAACATCACTAAATTCGTAGGGCACCACTCGTGCAACCACGGTTCCATTTTACTTAGACAGGTACATGTTGAGGGTAAGAAGTCAGAAGTGGTGCACGGTGCACACCCGCCTTCTTTGGTCTCGGAGGTTTATGAAGGGACTGAGTCTTCGGGAAGCCTAGGTTCGACTCCCAGCTTCCGGATCCGAAGGAATAGTCGTGGATTTGAGTGCTTTTTTAGTATTATTTAAACCACCGGATTCAATACTGCTCCCTCTCGCCCTCCCCTTCCTCCACTCTCGCTCTTGCCATTGCTGATCGTATCCCAGATGTACACTTTCGCAAGATATTATATGTTACTTATTGCATTCCTGTTGTGTTGTGCGAACTCGTTCCGAGTCGCGCTGAATTGTCTTATGTACGTCGGTGCAGATCCAATAGAAGGAACTCGGACATGGTGCACGGTACACGCCCTCCTCTTCTGAAAATCAGGCAAAGAAGTCTGTGGGAAGCCTGGGTTCGATTCCCAGCGCCCGGATTCGATCGAATAAGGCGTGTTTTTTGGCCGCGCTGATCATTCTCTGCGCAGATTAATGTCTCTTACCTAGATCGGCACGCTTCAGTACTGCGACTCGGATGTGGTGCATGGTGCACGTCCTCCTCTTCTAAATATCAGGTGAAGAAGTCTGTGGGAAGCCTGGGTTCGATCCCCAGCGTCCGAATAGAACTCCAATAGTTGCCTTTTTATCCATTCTCTCTAAATATGGTCCCTGCTTTGCCTTTCTGGTTGAGCATCGACGTTGAACATCAAAATTTCTGCATTAGCAATGCTCCAACACTCGCACGGACGGAGCCTCCACATTCAGGGTGACCTGACCGCATTCTGCTGCCGTAAAGCGTACTTTTAACACTTTTAACATGGCGCTGCCATACTGACGGTTTGCGTTGTTGTTCATGTAGGTTGGTGCAGAACGTCGATAGAGACTCGGATGTGGTGCGCGGTGCACGCCCTCTTCTTCCAGCGTTCCAGACAGTTTGTGGGAACCCTGCGTTCGACTCCCAGCGTCCGAATGTTTGGCAATTGCTTTTTTATCCCGTTTCTCTGATCCCTCCCCAGGTTGAACACAACATTAGCAGTGCTGCAATTTTACAACCGACGGAGTCCGGATGACCTTCTCATATTTTTTTGCCATACTGACGGGTCTCCATAACTAGGACAGCTTGACAAAAATTGAACTTCAGCGTCCGAATTTTCTGTGCCAAGTCCGGTTTTTATTAGTCCTCTGACTCCCCATTTCATCTTCTATTCTATTCCATCGCGCCGATCCCTGCGTACATACTCCTTACAATCACACCCCCATCGGATACTCCCTCCCATCAAACAAAACCGTCCTCACGCCCGGGTTCGCAGCCGTCACCTCCTTCACAAACGCGCGCCGCTCGCGCTCCATCTGGCGCCCCGCGGTCACGCCTCCGTTCCCCGCCCAGCTGTAGTTCACCCCCACGTGCGTGAGCGCAGGGAACGCGTGCGCGAGGAGCCCGCCCAGCCCGCCCTCGAGCAACGCCATCACTCGCACTTCATTCAACGCGAGGCGGCGCACGGCGGGGAAGACGGGCCACGCGGGGGAGAGCGCCGCTGGGGCGAGGGACCAGAGGGTGAGCGCGGTGAGCGGCGCGTGCGCGCTCGCGAGGAGGAGGGCGGCGCGCAGGCGCGGGTGCGGGCGGAGCTCGATGTGCGAGAGGCGCGGGAAGCACTGCTGGCTTGCGTCGGCGTGCGCCTTTTCGTCCGAGTCCGCGTCCGCGCAAGAGGCGCTTGGTGAAGATGAGGGCAATGAGAGGATGTGCTCGAGGTACGGCGCGAGCGTGTTGAGGCTCTCGAGGCGCGGGAGGCGCAGCGGCGCGCAGCCAGCTGGGAGCGCGTCTGCGGTGGGGGACATGTATTTGAGCGTGCGGATTGTAGGGTGGCGCGTGAAGAAGCGCGCGCTCGTGGCGGTGCTGATTGCCTCGGCCCACAGGCCGACGCACACGAGCGCGGGGAGCGCGAGCGCGTCGAGGATGGCGGCCCACTCGCGCGGCGCGAGCTTGATTGAGAGCTGGAGGTCCGTGAGGAAGGCGGCGTCGACGACGACGAGCTTCCACTTGTCGAACGGCGCGGGGGCGGGCGCGGGGGCGAGCGGGTATTTGACGGTTAGGGTCTGGAGGGCGTGGATGGTGGGGACGCGCTGGCGCGAGCCATCGTGCATGCGGACGCTCGAGTATGTCGTGGTCGAGTCCGTCCATCCGCCCTCGTAGTGCCCCGTCGCGGGGTTCCAGCGCCGCAGTGCATCTGGCCGGCAAGTGAAGAGCCCGTCCTTGAGCACGAACACCGTCGTGGAGCAGTCGCTTGCGAGGGTGGACACCAATTTCACCAGCGCGCGCGAGATGGGCTTGGTCGTCGCTGCGAGGGGTATTATGTCCGCGCCGAAATCGAGCTCCGTGGTCGAGAGACGCAAGGAGAACCAGGAGAGCAACGCGTCGAGCTGGTCGATGGTTTTCGCGTCGACGTCGTCGGGAAGGATACATCTGAGGTCTGTAATCGGGTGGACGCGCAGGAAGAGCGCAGTGCGCACAGCGGCGAATGCCTCGATGGGGTGCTCGGACTGGATAACGACGTGCCCGGACGAGAGCTGCGAGGGGGTGATACCGTGCCGTGCGAGCCAACTCCGCGTCGATAGCTCGTTGAAGCGCCTCGATACCTGCGCGACACGATACAGGGAGCGGTTATCTAGTCGTGTAAGGACGGTTGGAATCAGCTCGTTGGGCAGAATCGGAAGGCCGCGCTCAGGTCCATCGGGGAGCGCTTTTGGTAGAGGCCGCTTTCCATTCAACGTTGGGACCTGCAGCTGCGGCGTCGAGCTCGTCCATTTCTTGAGAAACGACATCGGAGTCGCGGAGTGAGAGTGATCCTTTTGTCAGACTCTTCCCACGATCTCTGTCATGCGCTCCCGGAAGCGGCCCGCGCTCGGCCCACGAGCCGCTTCAACCGGAGGGTTGAGATTCGGGACTCCGGAGTAACAATTCACAGGTCGTTCAGATAGAATTAGCCTCTGGTGGATTCACCCACATTAGAATTGGAGAAGATTTTCTTTCTTTCTTGGCAGTTCTTTCACGTTGATCATTTCTCTGCATCTAGGGATGTGCCGAATCGGCTACCGATTGAGTAAAGTGACTCGGACATGGTGTAAGGCGCACGCTCGCTTTCTTTTTTTTTTTTTTTTTTTTTTGAATCTTTGTTTTATATCCTGCGTGTCTAAGACATATGGTAGATATAAAGCTATCTATTTGTATCGTAAGTAGCGTATCGGGACCAATAAATTGGATGGCTGGGGATCGTTCAGACTCGAATGCGTGCCAGACCGTGACAAGACGGCGGCGTAGCGAAGTAAATTCGCGGGGTATGAGGGTATGTGGCCGTAGCCTCTAGAAAAACCAGATGATGTGATGATGGTGGTGTATGAGTAGCATGAGATAAAGAGAGAAAGAAACAGAACTGAAAGAAATCTACGTCTCGTCGGGTCGTTCCAGGGCTTTAAAGTCCCCGAACACAGAGTGGAAGCGGCGTGTGCGTTGGATAAACTCGAAAAGGTCAGGGAGGATTGCGGGGTCAGAGAGGAGATGTTTGGAGTAATGGGCAAGGCGGTTGGAGGCGTAGAGCGTGCGTCTGGCGTTGTCGTGTGCGGTGCAGAAGTGGAGGTAGTGATCAATAGTCTCGTCGTAAAGACCGCAGCAGGCACAGACTGGGGAAGGGGACTTCTTCAAGCGGTGTAGGTGGCGGGCGAGGGGGACGTGCTGGGAGCGGAGTTGGAACAGGAGAGAGGCGTGTTTTCTTGGGAGAGTCGCGGTAAGTTTACGAAATTTAGCCGAAGGCGCCGATCCGTCCACATCTTTGATGCGGGCGTACCGGGGCGATCGCGTAAACTGTTTCTTCGCGACTGTCTGCAAGAGTCTCTCGTGAGTGAGCGCCAGCGCGGACTTGCTGAAGGGCAATCTCTTCAGAACCCCGAGGGCCCCTCCGAAACTACCCCTCTGCGCCGCACGCTTGGCCGCCACATCCGCCACTTCGTTCCCAGGGATTCCTATGTGGCCTGGTGTCCAGTCGACACGGAGTCGTAGGGCTGGGTGTATTCGCGTCGCGCGTCGTAGTCGTCTGTGGAAGATATCCCAAATGTGCCTTCCCACTCCCGGTTTCGCGCTCTGAGTGGTGTCGATCGCCGCCGTGTTGTCCAATCCCAAAGGTACGCTCCCTCCGACCTGTTCATCAGCTTCCTCAATCAAGCATTCCACCGCCAGCACCTCTCCGACCCCTTCAGCCTCGTACACCCCGTACTCCTTCGCCGGCCCCAGCCGCACCCCTTTCACCCGCTTCACCACCCCATCTACACACAACACCCCCGACGCGCCTACCATCCCGTCAATGAGCGAGCCGTCCGAGAACAGCGTCACCCTCGCGGATTCCCCGAGCGCCTTCTCCTTGGCCTCCTCCTTGGAGGAAGCCACGCGCACCTCCACCGGCGCCACCCATTCCGCACTCATCCTCGCCGCCGGTATCGTCTCCACCAGGGTCTGTCGTACGCGTTTGTACGCGTTCATCAAGAAGTGCAAGGGAGAGGGATGTCTCTTGACGTGGCCCTTGCGTTCCACGTCCTTGATGGCGGCATGGAGGGGGTGCGTCGCAGGCAGGGTCGCATAACGGAGCGCCGCTTTCTGAAGGTGTCTGTCTATCGCGAGATGGATTGGAGGAAGGTCGGCGTGGGCGTCAAGCAGGTCCCCTGGAGAGGAGAACATGCCGCCTACGATGAGTTTCGCCGCGCGTAGCTGAATAGAACCCAGTTTCTTGACGATGCCGCGCGAGTCCTTTTTTCTATTCGCCCCGATGACGTGCTGATGAGTCGGAACCAGAAAGATTTCTGCCCCGTAGAACATCCGCGGGACGCAGATGGCGAGGTACAGACGCCGCACATACGTTGCCCCCACGCCCCGGAGACGCGTGCAAGGCGGCGAAAGTTAACCAGCCACTCGTGCCCCCTGGCGAGCGCGGCTGCACCATGGACCTTGAACGTAAGTCCCTCGTCAAGCCAGATCCCCACCAGCTTCACAGCTTTGGAAGGCTTCACCACCAGTCCGTTGATGACGATGTCCGGGCGCTTTTCCGGGAGCCATTTGCTTTTCTGCCCGAACGGCTGCGCCACAAGCCGCCGCCGCGTCGAAAAATGGCAGGCCTGGTCCTTCGCGGCACCAAACACGCTGTTGTGGGTCTCCCCCCACTCATTCACCCCCCCCTCTCTCGTCACCACTTCTGCAATCGCCTGGCTCGTCGCCCTCAGGTCCTTGCCTATTGCTAGCGCATGATAGTCGTCGATATAGATGCCCGAGTCGTCATCGATCCGGGCAAGCGGGGTGTTGTAGAAAAGGTAGCAGATGACAGACTGGGGGTCTCCCTGGTCGAGACCGTCAACAATGTTAATCGGCTCGGAGGTGTAGTCGTCAAAAAGCAGCCGCGTTGTGCGTCCTGTGAAGCGACGCATCATCCACTCCGTGTGCTCCTGCGGGACACCTGCCATTCGCATGTTGTGCACCACTCTTGACAACATCGCACTCGGGAACGCGCCCTTCACGTCCCGGAGTAGCAACGTTGCGACCTTGCCGTTCCGCCAAGCGTGCTTGATTTTCTTCACCAACCCCTGCACCATGTCAACTCCCGTCCTCCCCGCTCTTCCGCCATAGTGATTCGCCGGCAGCATCCCGAAGAACTCGGCGTTGGTAGCTATCTGCAGCGTCTTCCCTGCGTTGCGGAGGCGCGCATGCCCATGTGATAGGATGAGCGGGCGGTGGGCATTCACCAGAGAATAATCAGCTTTCCCTGGCTTGCGGGCGACAATCGTTTCCGTGCGCTGCCAGTCCGGAGGCTCGTACTTGTAGACGTCCAAGGCACGATAGATCTTGTGCATCCGGGGGATCAAGAGAGCGGCGCACAGCTTGTAAACGCAGTTGGGGAAGGTGCCAGAGCGTGTGCCCTTCCACGGCTTCATTTTCTGGGCGACTTGGTGCAACTGCGCCTCCGTGATCGATTCGTACTCCCACAACGGCGTTGGGTAAACCGTGTCCGCCTCTGGGTCTGTGGTGCCAACTCCGCGGCCAGGGTAAAACTCCTCCACCATCCACGCACTCTTCTTCTCGTTTGTCTCCGCCATCTCGTCCGCCTGCCCGTTTCTCTTCCTTCTCAAGCCGGGGACCCTCGTCTTGCCCCCATCCGTCGACTCTCCCCCCATCATCTTCCCTGCCAGCCACACATCCTCGTCGCCGATCCCATCTATCCACTCCAGCCAGTACTTCTCTCTGGCTGCCTTGAGCATCGCAGAGAAGTCGTTCCGGGAGCGGCGGTATTTCTCATGGACGGGGTGGAAAGGGAGGTCGCGCTTCCTGTATGACTTCCGCGCGAGCTTGTCTCGCTCCTTCTTCCGATCCCCGAACGCCTTCTCCCACCAGCGCTTGGAGTGCGGGCACATTTTGCTGCGGGGAACGTGCTTCGCGATGCACCTCCAAATTGCTGCGTCCAGGGTATCGATGGCCGCCATCACCTCCTCCACACTCGCGTATCCATCCACCACTCCCAGCCCCGCCAACTCCTCCGCCAACATCTTCCTCAGTTCCATCCAATCCCCCGCTTTCCAGTTCCATCTCTCCTCCACTGTCTTCACCGGCGGCACCAAATCGATTTCGCTGATGATCGGGTAATGATCCGTCGTACCTGGGACTCGGAAAGGGTAAGCGTCGCACGATACGAAGAACTCCCGGAAGTCATGGCTGCAGAAGACATTGTCCGGGCGCGTCTCGTTGCCCGTTCCCTTCGCGCATAGCGTCGGGATGTCTTTCGGCAACACCATGTCCATCCTATAACGCCCCAAGAGCTGCAGGAGCAGGTGCACGGCCTCATCCGCCTGCGCGGTGAAGAGGTGAGCATTTCTGAACTCGTCCCACAGCGGGCTATGCCGATTGAAGTCCCCCAGCCAGATGTAATACACCCGACCAGGCGGCTGCGGCCCGAGCCTCGCTTTCCGCATGTAGTCCCACACTGCTATGAGGCTCTCGTCATTGTCACCATCATTGTAGATGTTGATGATGCGGAGAGCTCCAAAGCTGCCGCGTAGCTCGACACCGACCACATCGGGCGACGCTATGCTGAGCTGCGACCACACGTTCGTCGGCAACGACGTGTTCACGAGCGTCACCGCCCTCGGCCTCCTCGCGCCCGCCTCCTTGCTGTGTCCTGTCGGGTACACCGGCCGCCAATACGAATTGGCCCTCGTCACATTCCCCGGTCCAACGTACGGCTCTTGAAGCGCTGCGAAATGGTATTTATCCCTCCCCATCGTCTGCAGAAGCTCATGCTGATTGTTTAATCCACGATCCAGGTTTTGTTGCCAAAGTCTCAGTCTCTTTGGCAGCGGATCTCCCCTGGAGGGCGTATTCATGACGAATCGCCCACGGCAAGGGCCGGGTCCTGAGGAGGAGGAGAAGCGGAACGCGGGGGAGCCGTTGCAGTCGCGGGAAGCTCCGATAAGGGAGGAAGACCAGTAAGACTGTCATCACTCGCCCAGTCCAGTCCTAATCCTCGCCCCATTCCCAGCCCCGGAATCGGACGCATGTCTGGATTCGCATTCGCTCCCCTATCGTCTCCGCTGCCACCGCTCCCGCTCGCGACCGCAGTCGCTGTGTTCGCCGCCGGATTCACCACCTGCGTGCGTCCCATGATGCCCCGCTGGAGCTGCCGTTGCGACTGCGTCAAGCCGTCATTCGGTCTCTGAAAGGCCTCAAACAATGACATCTGGCGGCGCCCGTCAGCTGCCCACATGTTTCCATGTGACTGCGCCTCTTTCCGCGCTCTGCTACCCGCCCATCCCTGGTCCACTGGCGCCCCGTTCCCTCCACCCTGACCCGGATACCCTCCCGCCAAACGCCCAGTCCCATCGTTTCCATTCTGTTGCCCCCCCATCATCGTGTTCACGCCCGAAGGTCCGGGCAGAACGGGTGACGACGAAGCCCACGTCTTGGGGTCCGCCGTCGGGAAATAGCGGTACCCCGCCGTCGGGTCTCTCGCTTTCCGCCGCTGTTGCTCCCGCTGGAAGACAGGGCATTGCCGATCTACCGCGCCATGCCCCTCCACCTTGCAGTTGGAGCAACGGAAAGGACCGGAGTCCGTAACCGTGCAGTCTCCGGTGCGGTGCGCCGCTGCGCACCGCCCGCAGACGTCGACCTCTGACTTGCACGCGTGCGCCAGGTGTCCGTCGTATTTCTGGCACTTGGCGCAACGACGCGCCTCCTCCTCCGACTTGCGCACGCGCAGCCGGGTCCCCTGCACGTATATGCCATTGTCGATGGCATGGTTAGCCGCCTCGGCTGACATGAATTCGACTTTCGCATGTGCGACCCGCTGGTTAGGCTGCCTACGATGCGGAGCTTTAACCCAACGGGCCCCCGTGATCGCGCCATCCGCGAGGCCGCTATCCATCTCCACAAGACGCCACGTCCCCGCGTCTTCCAAGCGCACCTCCACCGACACCATTTCAGCTATAAGCTCGAGGCGCCGCGGACGGTACACACCGACGTCCCCCCCATCGCGGACACGAACTCCCTCATAACATCGTCGCGCTTCAGCCACTCTGCAGTCTTGTCATCCTTGCAGTCGAAGACTACCCCTCCATTCTGCAGTTTCCGCGCCCCCACAAACGACGCGCCTTCCATCTTCGCGGTCATGATGGTCAAGGCGAGATTCGCCTTCTCCCTCAGCTCCAAAGTGCTGAGATCGCTCAGGCTGTGCGCCGTCGCGTCCGTGGCCTTATCCACCAAAATTTGGCGCTGCATACGTCCGCCTCTTGCGAGGACAGACGCCTGCTCCGCCGTCATCGTGGCAGACGCAGCCGCAGCATACGAGCGAGCGCCCGGGGGCATCGACGACACCTTCGCCGTCGCCTCCCCTGCGGCATCCACCGCGGCTTTCAGCTCCTTCACCTGAGCTACCAGCGTGCTCACTTCCGTCCTCGACGCTTCCACCACCTTAACCAGTTCTGAGGACGTACCTTGCATCTCCCGGATTGTGACGCAAACCGCCTGCTGTCCATTCACCAACCCCTCTACTATCGGCGATATCGCGTCACCGACGGCGTCGCCACAGGCATCCGCAATCTCCTGCGCCACGACAGCGTCGATGGTCTCAGCCTGGAAAGCCAAAGCCCTCAGAGTGTTCCCCATAGATTTCTGCAGGGTCTGCGGCAGCAGCGAAATCTTCATCAAGACCGCGAAGAGGTCCGAGCGCGTGAAAGGGGTGCCTTTGGAGATCCATTGACTCCCCTCGAGGTAATGCCTGGCGGAGGCGGCATCTCTGATCGGGTGCGGGGTCGTCTTACCCTTGTCTCCCGCTTCCAGTAGTTGTGGTCGCGTGAGGTACGTGCCTATGCACGACTGGACGTCTTTCACTGTCGCCTGATCCAGCGGAGTCGGATTTGGGGGTGTTCCCCTGGGAGAAACTGACATCGTTCTTTCACACTTCTGTAAACCTTTGCTAGTATAGTATTCTCCCCGAGTTACAAGTCAGTCAAGTAAGAGTTCGTCGCGAACGACGCGTCGAGAGCCCGGTGCCACTGCCGAGTTCCGGGGTCCTAGTCGGGGTGCCACGTGGTCGGAGTGAAAACTCTCGCTTTCTTTAGTATTGCTACATCCTCCACCCTGGGGCGGGAAGCCCGGGTCAATTCCCGGCGTCCGACTCAGACTCTCTTCAACATTTTATGTACCAGTCTTCTCCTCTCCTTTATTGCCCTCCTCCTTCCGGAGGTCGGTTGATATTAATGCTCTTATTACAGGGTGAATGTCGGAATATTGACAATGTCATATTTTTGTCAATATTCCATTGTAACATGTTGAACCCGAGTGTGATTCTGTGAAACACGGCATTTTCAAGTATGCGGACGATTCTCTCGCACTTCAAGTTAACCAGGTGTACATTATGGATCGGTAGGAACTCGGACGTAGTGCATGGCGCACACCTTTTTTATTAGGCCTACCACAGAGGACTTTATGGATCCTGTGTCCGAATGTGCTATCCATGCCGATTATTTATTCAATTTATTCCCATTGAACACAGCTCAGTCTCCCCTGGGATCCTCCCTTAGGCCTTCACCCCGCCCTGTGCCACCTTTTCAGACGTGCGCTTTAACAAGCTATCAGATATTAGTTTTTCCACTCAAGTCGCGTCGTGGTAAGGTGCAGATTGTGTATAGGAATCGGACGTGGTGTGCGGTGCACCCCCGCGCTGTATTCGGGGATAACCGTCGCACCGTTTGCGGGAAGTCCGGGTTCGATTCCCGGCGTCCGATTTGGTCTGTGGTCATGGTTTTTTTTTCTCAGGCAGTTTATACACGCTGGTTCTTCCCTCCTATGCAGGTACATTTGAAAGTACAATTTGAGTATAAGGAATCGGACGTGGTGTGTGGCGCACACTCGCCTTCCTTATAGACTTTTCGTGCACGTCGAGCAGGAAGCGGGAGTTCGACTCCCAGCGTCTGAATTAACCATCATCAATGCTTCTTTTGCTTCATTATCTACGCTGATTATTCTTTCTTACCTAGGGAGGTACATTTTTAGTATGGAGACTCGGATGTGGTGTATGGTGCACAACCGCTCGTCTTTCCTTCCAGTCATTGACGAAAGTTTGCGGGAAACCTGGGTTCGACTCCCGGCGTCCGAATAGCGCATGTTCGAATTTTCTTTTCTATGGTTCTATTCGGCCGATAGATTCAACACAGCTCAGACTCCCCCTCCCTTCCTTCACCCCGACCTTTGCCGCCTGGGATTTCACCTCAGACGTGCACTTTCACAAGGTATTAGATATGACATATCATATTTTGCGAACTCAGTTGAATTCTCTCTCGTGTAGGTGCGTGCAGATTATGGATAGGGAATCGGACGTGGTGTATGGTATACACTCTCATTCTTTACCGCATTTTCTATAGAACGGGCGGGAAGTCTGGGTTCGACTCCCAGCATCCAAAATGTATTCCCCTAGTCTTTTCTTTTTCTTCCTTCGAAGTTCATCTGCGCTGATTATGCTCTCTAACCTAGGGAGATACACTTTAGTATGGGGACTCGGACGTGGTGTATGGTGCACGCCTGCTTTACTTGGTCGGCTTGAAATATATCAAGCGGGCGCCGGGAAACCTGGGTCCAACTCCCAGCGTCCGAATGATAGCGTTGCATCAGTCTCATTCTGCAGTTCATCGTTATTCTCTCTTACTTGTCCAGGTGCAGACTGTGTAGGAACTCGGATGTGGTGTATGGCGCACACCCACCCGTATTACGGAAATAAGAAACGAAAGTCAGTGGATAGCCTGGGTTCGATTCCCAGCGTCCTTTTTTTCCGAATAGATGGATCCAGTCGGCTCTTTTTCTTCATTCGCAGTTCACGACTATGATTTTGTTCCTCCTCGGGAGGTACGTGTTTAGTACAGAGACTCGGCCGTAGTGTATGGTGCACACCCGCTCCTGTTTAATCACGAATATATGCTCAGCTTATTAACATTCTTCTACCTGCATAACGATACTCAGCCTCAGAGGCGAAGCCAATGGAGGCACAAGCAGGGCGGGTGTTGGCCGCAGGCCCGCCGCCTGATGGTTGAGCCCTACGTGATCTTCCCAAAAAGGCAGTCACTGCGTTCAGCGGCCCTCTAGCCGCAGGTTCGGCTATGTGTTGCTAGCCGAGTGCTATGTATAGCCCAGATGTTTGATGGTCGCCTGGCTGGGGTGGCCTAGCCACGGCCTGACTAGATGTGGCTAGGTCATGCCCAGCCGACATAGCCGCCCTGCGGCCAGCCCTCGGCTAGCCCTCCGCTGAGCGTTGCTACCTGATGCTAGTCGAAGCGCAGTCCTGGCCGCACCTCGGCTAGAACGGCTGGCCCGGATCCAGCAGCAGCTAGCTGGCGCCTGTGGCTCTCTTTCGGCTAGGCGGTGCTGTGGCTATCCAGTCCCTGAATGCAGTGAGTCTCTCGCTTTCCTTCGTTCCATACATTCTGGTAGGGCATGCTTCATTCCTGAATTTTGCTAACAGGTTGACAATTCACTCTTACTTGAGCAGGGGCACATCCAGGTCAAGGAATCAGATGTGGTGCATGGTGCATGCCTGCCCTGTGATTACAGCCAAGGACAGTACTGAAGGCGCGACCAGAAATTTTCCATTTTTGGCCATTTTTGATCCCTGCGAAAGAATTGTCTCTAGCTCTCTCTCAGTTTTGGGCAGATTGAGCTAAAAACTAGATAGATCTGATGTACTAATTCATGCGCAATTAGTGATAGAGCTAATTGTGCGAAAATGTATTTCTTTGATGGCTTGATAACTACAGCCCTCCCACACATGAATGCTTAGTGTGTCCAGGTCATCTCCAATCGGGCTGAATTTTTGGGAGGGATGCTTTGTAGTGTATAGCTCGGGCGTGATAGATTCAGAAATGTTGATTTATGTTTTTCCAGCTGCTGGTGGCTCACTCAGATACATCTCAAATAGGAAAGAGCCACTTCAATTAATGGAGTCTTTATCCAATTGATGTCACCTGCGGAGCACATGCTTCAGACGCACCTGGAATCCAGGTGTGTCAGGCTTTGCCCCCAGTGTGTTGGCAACCGTACATGTGTCCACGGGTTTGATCTCGCGCAATAACTTTGTATCCTTGGGACAGATTACTTTCGGCACCTGGACTTAGGCATATTCATGTCTTTTCTATGCACTCGAATACTTTCAGAATTTCTGGACTTGAACTGCGGAAGATACGAATCTTTCGAAGATAGAACCCGAAGTGGAATCGGTTTTGGCGGGCGTTTTGGCGTGTGGGAAAAGCACATCAAAACTTTCCATTTGATTTCTTTTGTACGCTGTAGGGCTCAAATTTGTCCAGTATCTTTACCCAGCGAGATATATAGCATGAACACACATCCCTGAATTTTCTCGGAGGAAACGGGCTCGAAATGCGCGCGGGATCATGAATAATTCCGCGTCAGGGTGCGTGGACACATCAGGGGCTAAAGCGTACTCCTTTGTAGTCTTCCTAGTCAGACCAAATTAAGATTTTTTTAAAAAAATTTTGAGAGAGAGGAAAAAATAACCAAATATATGATCTGATTTCACTCGCGCCTCCCAAGCCGTAGGTCAGGCTTCCGGATAAGGCAAGGCCCGAAAAGGAAATCCATTTCTGGAGCTCAGCGCAAGGAGGCCCTGGGATTACGGTCCTGTTGGACCACAGATGGCATATTTACCCTTTATAAATTGACATCCCCTTCAAAAGATCTCTCAAACTGTTAATTTGGATGTGTGGTGCACTTTTTCCTCCGCGATGGTGTGGCTGTGCACACATTGGCAGCTCGCGAATGTTGCATTTTCGAAGGAATGACAAGGAAAAAAATTGAGATGAACTAGCAGGTTGATACTCAGAAAGACTCTAAAGCTTTCCTGACAGTTTACAGGGCATGCATGGGCTTACTGAGCACAGCATGAGAGGTGCGGCTGAAGCTTGACCTACGGCTATCACATGACAAGTAAAACTAGACTATAACTCCTTTGGTCATCGGAGCCGGCATGTTCGGTTTTAATCGGTCTTGCGACTGATTTGCCATCACCCTTGGAATGGCGGGGCTACCCGAGCTGGATATGACGGTTCATTTGTACAAAAATTGATTTCGCACGCGCGCGTATCATTTAGCGCGCGCGCGACCCCAAACGCGCTCGCGCACTGGTCCATTGAAATTATACACTGCCACATAGTAAGTATTGAGTAAGTACATACTACGGATGGCTCCCACATCAACCGTGGACTGTATTAGCAGGAAAAATTGCGCGTACACACTATTCTAAGTAACAGACAGGTCTACGTGCACTGTGCAGAGGAATATCAATGTAACCGATTCCCTGGTACCCCTCGTCCCTTACCTCCTGTCGTAAATCCTTTTTGAATCCTTTTTAAAGTCGTCCACGTTGTGGGGCTCCATCGAGAACACGATGAAGGTAACGCTCAAATCGCGAGGGCTGAGGCGGGAGCCGTGAGCCGCGGCTGCGATACCATATGGGGGGATATTCAAGAGTCGAGAGGTGTCCTAGCCTTCACCGGTGAAGGCTGGGACGAAGAGAGTGTACTTAGAGAGCGACAAGAAGACGGGAAAAGATGGAATGATGGCAAGCACTGCCACCTGTTCCGATCTTCGCCTATCGTGGGAGTGTTTGTTCTTGCTTCCAGGCCCAGAGCCATCGGACACGTCACCCACTCTCTTTCTCTTCTGCCACGTCCCCAGCGCACCAGCATCCACCGACGGTGGGCCTGTGTTGGCTTCCTTTGGTGGCCACTGCCCATTCCTCCTCCTCCCCTCCCCTCGCCCTCACCTCGCGGTCTCTACAACTTCTTTGGTTTCCTTGTCTGGTTCCTTTGTCTCGCCTCGAGACAAAGGACGGCAGGACGGCAGAGCAAGCTTGGAATTGACCCAAGGAGCTACCGAGGAGCCTCGGATCTGCGGCTGCAGGAGCTTCTGAGGCAGATAACAGTAAATAATAGTAACGTTATGTATGTAGTGATTTGTTCGCGCGCGCGCGCTGATGTCGTGCGCGCGCGCAAATTTAATATTTGTACAAACGAACCGTCATACTGGAGTCTTGCATCATCATCGCCGACCCCGACGACTGCGTTGAGACTGCGATTTTGCTGTTTGACCTCTGCTTTTCTTTCTGGTATCTTGCTCGCCTCGGCCGTTATCCCCTTCCCGTATTGTGAAACCCACCTGGAAACTTTCGTAGGATGACAGTATGTCAGATGTTGGACAGATCTCAGGCTCACTGGCAGGCCGCCCTTTCAGTACTCCTCCACAATATGTACTCGTTATGTCCTGTGATTCGTCTCCTGGAGCTGGCGAGCGGACGATGGATGAGGCGACGACTCGGTACGGTAAGCTTCAAGCAGCTTGCGACGGCTTGCGACGGCTCAAACTAAACCGAAATTACCAGGGTTCCCAGGTTACTTATTCAAACCTGCGAACAGGACTCGACTGACGGTCATTGACATGCTGAATTCATTTGGCCCCCCTGTGGTGCTGACGTGGGGAAAATCAACACAACAGCAGATACGCTTAGGGCATGCCAGCGGATCTTGACGACGTTCTGCAAGCGTGCGCATGCTGCCTGCGCACATGACGCTTAATGACCTTGGATACGCACTCGACGATGGAAGAGTTTAGTGCAAGGATGGAGGAGATTGCTGCGAAGGTGGAGGCCCTCACAGCACGCATGGATGCTCTTTCTCCTTCATTAACCCGCACTGGTGCGTTACGGTCATTCTGCTGTATATTT